GGCCATGGAACAACGGTCGGTCAGTCGGGAAACAATGAGGGAAAGGAGTGCAGCAGTGAAAGGGGAGAGACGGATTTTGTTTATGAGACAGGAGAGCGAGCAATCAACGCTCCACACACCACACCACACCATCCCTCCCTCCCTCCCTCCCCCTCTGTATCTCAGTTTGTTGGGCAGCGCCATGGATGAGATCAGTCGGCTGCGGCAGCAGCTGCACGACGAGGAACATGCCAGGTGGGGGAGTGGGTGGACGTCATGTCACGTCACATCACACACATGCCACACAACTTCTACTTGCGGTGTGTGTCTCAATTGATTGCTGCTGCAGGAGGGTCATGGAGGAAGAAGTGTACAAGCTGGTCGAGGACGTAGTCGCCAAAGTCAGGCACGAAATCGCACTGGTACGCACCTACCCCACCGAACCGCACATCCGATTGACCAACACACACATGCCATTCCGTTCCACTCCCCCTCCCCCTCCCCCTCCCCCTCTCGGCTGGTTGTTTGTCAACACACGTATCCTATGCTTACCCACAGGAGCGTCAGGAGCGTGAGGCTACGGAGGAGACTTTGCTGCGGCTGCTCGAGGAGACGTGCACCAAACTCAACGACGCAGCACAAATCGAATGATTGATGGGGCCGGGCCGACAGCCGTGTAGCCAGCCGGACGGGGCGATGGGTGGGGGTGTGGTGTGTGGGTGATACGGGGCAGGACGCATGGACCGTCTGGTTGGCTGGCTGTGGTAACTAGTGTGAATGGAATGGAATGGCTGTCTGTCAGTTTGTCTGTGCGGAAAGGAAAGTGTACCTAGCAGTCAGCCATGGACCGGACAGACATCCATCCCTGACATCCATCCATCCATCCATCGGTGGCCGCCCTTAGACCCAAGGCAGCGAGCGAAATCCCGCACTCTGTCCACATCATAGTTATACACACACGAAAGCTTCCCGGATGTCAATCACATCCGTCACCCCCACTCCTAGCTTGACGTCTGTGCCTTATGGCCCTCTAGCTGGATCCCGCGTTGCTCGAGGCACTTGGGGCACTCGCACACAAACAAGTAGTGCATCAGCTTCTCCTGCCGACTCGCCAGAGGCAGAGAGCAATCGATGTACGAGATGCACAGCTCCTCACCGGCACTTATCTGGCCGCACACCACACCACACACAGCGGGAGTGCAGTGCGCAGGAGTTGATCTCCCCTATCTTCGATGGCTTAGGTAGGTCCATACTTCTCTCAGTGTGGTGACAGTCAGTGTGGAGTCTTCCTTGAGGCTGCCCACCGCACAGTTGGGCACACACGAGTGGTTGAAGCTGCTCTGAAGGACGCACACACCTGCACACACACACAAACACACACACACACACACACAGATGGCTGAATGGCTCAAGTGAGCTCCGAGCGACAATGCCTCCCTCCCTCCCCCCTCCCTCTCCGTGTGCCTCTCCTGTTTTAACTGACCGACCAGCTGCTTTGAGCACACAGAGGCCTTCACACTGGGGCACAAATGCAGCGATGGTCAGCGATTGGGCGTTGAGCATCAGCTGACCCAGCAGCAAAGACACCGTATCGGAGCTCACGAGTGTGGCCGTCAGCTCCTCGTCGCTCAGGTGCTCTGCAATGGCCCCTCGCAACTCCCCCGACAGCAATGCCGTGGCACTCGACACGTCAAAATCTGCGTGCACCACACAGACACACACAGACAGACAGACAGACAGACACACATACGAATGCATTGCACCTCTCAACTCTGTCTCTTTTATCCGTTAGTATCAGCCAAACCTGCGACCTCTGCTGTGTGTGGCGCCACAAGACGCTCAAAGGGGCGGCATGCGAGTGAGAAGGCCGCCCGCAGCGCATCCCCCTCGGCCGCTCTGCCATCGTCCCTGAGCGACGGCAGCAGCTGGCAGGTCGTTCCGGCAACACGCGCAATGCACCGAGCAACGGCCTCAACAGTGACGGGGCTGTCCTTGCCATGCTCTCGCTGCCAGCCCCTCAGTCGTGCCAGAGCCCCTTTCTGCATCATCTTGACCCATTGCCCACCCTGCTGCTCACAGGTCACACTGCAGAATAAAGGAGCCCCAGCCTCATCAGCTGTCTTGTCAGGAAGGATCTTCAGGCACTGCTCGCACCACGGGATGGACAGACTCTGAGACTCATTGGCCGCTGATGAGAACATGTGGAGCGGCCAGCACACCAGCGGGATCTCGATGAGGACGTCGTAGTCACTGGCCAAGGCTCTCTTGGCCCGCACGGCCTTGCCCTTGTTGGGGTGATGGACGATGGAGAAGTCATACGCCGATGTGAACGGCCGATACTCGTCCAGCTCATTAAAGGCATCAGCACCAACGACAGCAGCAGCACCACCAGCATATGGCGCAGCCATCCCGAGCGATGCGATGATGAATGAATCGACGTCGTCAGTCAATCAGTTCTCTCCACGCGGCTGCAACAGAAAGCAACAGTCTGAGAGCAAGATCCGCACGCATGGAGATCCTGCGACCTTAACCCGCAGAGTGTGCCGGGCTTAGGCTCTCCGTCAAACCCATAACCGACCGACCGCCTGCCAGATCTGGCCCTGCATCTCCATCGCGCCGTTGCGGTCTTGTAGACCACGACCATCCTGGTGACCTCAACACCTGCATGGAGATGCTGTGTCATCGTTTGATGCATTCATTGTATGTATCCCTTTGTCTTGTCAGGCTGGCCGACAGGTGCTGCGCATCGCATCCCTCCAACCAGCTCTCTGATCCGCCACCTGCCTGACCAACTGCCTGACCCACCACCACACCACAGGCAAGCCACCCATCCTTCACAAACACATGCACTCTCTGTTGTATGTGTGTATGTCAGGCTGCCTCTCGTCGCTCCACCGGCAGCTGGACGAGATGAACCACAGCGACACACAGCCTGGTGAGAGGACAGGAGGGCTGTGTGGTGCGGCCAATGCGGCTGGTGATGGTGGTGCAGGGGGAGTTGAGGCGCCGGGGGCTGCTGCTGCTGCTGCCTCCCTTCATGGAGGTGCCATCTACGGTGTGCTCGGGTACACGATGCCCATGCCGGACGACCTGCCTGCGCGCTCGCGTAAGCCCAACACTCACGCGCACACACACACACGCACACTCGATCAACGGATGAATCGGTCGGGTGTGGTCGATCAGGTCTGCTTCTGAAGGAGAAGGAGAACGGCGTGCTCGACTTGTTCCTGGAGGTGTGGACGGCCCAGGCCATCAAGACCCACTTCTCCCACCGACTCAACGGCCGCACCAAAGACGACGTCCAGCAGGCCGCAGACATCCTCTTCGACAGATACCGGGAGCGCCGCGACAAGGCAATGGCCTTGCACGCGACCCAGGCGTGATAAGCTTATCGAGCTGAGCAGGAGAGACCCCGAAGAAAAACCCTACCTTCTCACCGATGTTTGTTGATACAATGTCAGACACAGCCCCACACCACACCACACCACGCAATGATCGCAATCAATGTCAGGCCGAGACCCTAAAGCACCTCAACCTGTCTCATTGCAACCCACTCGCCCATCCGTCTGTCCGTCCGTCCGTCCGTCCATCCATTGATCACACAAATAAATACGCATAGCATGGCATGCGTCCGTCCGGGACTGCGTGTAGTCAGTAGCTAGCTAGCTAGCTAGCTGGGCACACCACCACCGCCTCCCCATCCCCACACGTCGGGCAGTCAGTCATAGACACCCACACGCACGCCGGCACACACGTTCGTGCGGCACAGGTGTGTGTGCGGCTGTCTGACAGGCAGGCAGGCAGGCAGGATCTACTAGTAAAGCGATCTCTCACACCGGCCGCCCACCCTCACCCTTGAATAAGCTGACCGGCTGACCGGCTGACAGACAGACACAAAGTGACACAAAACAGGAAGGCCACAAGAAACGAAGGGAGGGAGGATGGGCGCGCACATACAGGCAGGCAGAGAGGGAGAGGGAGAGAGAAAGAGGGAGAGCGAGAGAGAGAGAGGGCGGGTGTCGGGCCGGCAGGGCAGGCACTGTGAAAAAAGACTGACAAGTACCTGTTGCTTCCCTCTTGCCAATCGGCACACACCACACAAGCCGTTGCCGATCGGCACACACAAGCCAGCGATAGTCAGCCGAGCACCACATGGGCGGCTGATAGACACAACACCTCCTCTCCCCTCCCCCACACGCACGAGCACACCCACATGCATCAGACAGAACAGCCTTCAGCAGGCTCCGCTCCACCCTCACAGATAATGCAACGACCGACAGACAAGCCTGGCAGCCATATCAAAACCAACACATATTGCAATGAATGGGTGCATCACCCCACCCCACACCCGACCCAGCTCATTCCCCCCAAAAACGCCACACAACCAAAGTGTGCACAACCAAAACACAAACCAACCAACCACATGCCCCTCTCCTCACCCTCCCCCCCATGGCACCCCCCTCAATCAGATCTGATCAGACGAAGTCCATTCTCTTGCCATAGACGTTGGCCCCGTTCACGTCGTAGCCACCATACCCGTTGTCTGGCTCGCTCATCACATAAGACTCCCGCCGCCCTCTCCCCCTCCCCCTCCCCCGTGGTCCGCGGTCCATGTTAGAGGTGAGTTTGATGTCGTCGCACGGCTGTGGGCGGCGCTTGACGAGGCAGAGTTGGAAGAGGAAGCAGAGGAACAGCGGCACCGACGACAGGACGTACGTCCACGTCGCGTATTTGTCGGGACCGTCGGGCGACCGATACCGGAACATGTTGGGACCCTCAATGCCGAAGTTCACACCTGAGGGATGGACGGATGGATGGACAGAGAGAGGCAGAGAGAGAGAGGGTTGGCTCGCTCCCTCTCTCTGAGTTGGGTGCTCTCTCTGGGTTGGGTGCTCTGCTCGCTCATGCGTCTGTCTGTCTGCAGGTAGGTACCTGTGAGCAGGGCGAAGACGGCGAGTGCAACGCTCCAGAGGAGTAGGAAGAAGGTGGAGCAGCAGTGGACGGCCCAGGACTTGAAGAGCAGCGTCAGAGCGAGCAGCGACGAGCCGAACAGCAGCACCCCCGTGACGATGTGCTCGTACACAGCCACGGGTGCGTTGTGGGTGAGGTCGGTCTCGTTGATGGTGGGCACGGCCATCATCCACAGCCAGATGCCGCACACGGCCACATAGAAGTTGAAGAAGGCCAGGCAGCAGGGCCCTCTGACGTTGGCCGCCTGGAGCTGCCTCATCGACACTGCGTCGTCCTCCTGCTTGTAGGCCACCTTTGTCCACAGACTCAAGACGCCGAGGCAGAAGGCCGCCACCCCATAGTAGATCACATCGTCCTTGTGCACCTGAATGTCCCAAAAACACACGCACGAGTGCTGCCGTCGATGCGCCCGTCTGTGTGTGTCAGATGGGATGGCAAGCCCCACCCGAGCCCACCTCGTGCTCATTGTTGTTGTCGAGGTCCATGAGCAAGAGAATGAGCCACCCGAGCATCTGGCCCGTGTTGATGCAGGCGTATATCGCCAGGACCGTGGGCGTCAGCTCGGCGTGCTTGACCGACGATATGCACACCGTGAGGCACAACAGGCCGCCGACAGCAAGGAAACACATGTGGTAGATGCCCCATGGCGCCGGCGACAACGGCACTGACACACACACACCACACACAGAATGGAAGGCAGGCACGAGGTATGTTGATGCCGTGAGAGGAAAGGGCGGATAGTCTGTATGAGAGCGCACCTTGCACAATGGCAATGACAATCAGCGCAAGGCCGAAAAGAGTGGCTACCGAGGTGAACACACAATCCGCTGACACACACACAGACAAACGGGCGGACAGACAGACAGAAGAATAATCAGTATCGGCTCTCCTCTCCGCTGCTTGCTTCATTAAGTGGATCTGACTGACCATCGAGGGAACAGAAGCGTCTGCGTTCATTGAAGAGTAACCTCCCCATCTCACTCGCTCACTCTCACTCCTCAAACCTTTTAGCGTGTTAATGCCCTTCCCTCTTCACCCTCTTCTCCTCGCAGATCAAAACCCTTCCCCGGGTGATTCCTGCTGCGTGTCGTTCGTTGATTGTGCCACCGACCTGACGTTCCGTAAAACCGCCAAAACCCTTCACCCCTCGCCAGAAACCCTGCGCGGCTTTCCACCACCGACTGACTTTGCGATCCCATCCCACCGATCCCATGGATCCCACAAGTAGGGAGGGAGGGAGGGAGCGGAGTTGCTTCTTTTCTCTCGAGCAGCCTACCTAGCCTGTCTTGTCTGTCTTGCTGGTGTCAGTCAGTCAGTCAGTCAGACTGAGTCAGTCAGAGGTGAAGTGTGGCATTGATTACAGTGAGTGATTGGCTCTATCTGCTGCAGTCACTGCAGCACTGCCTTTTTTGTGAGTGTGTGGCCTTACTTCGTCACTCAGGTCCATCTCATCTCATCTTCTCTGGTGCACACAGCCATCCATCGCTCCATCGGTGTGCAGTGAGTGCAGCATAGGCAGCGTGGGTTTGGTAGGACAGACAGTGATGGCCATAGAGGGGAGTGAGTGAGTGCAGTGCAACGGTCTCTTCAATGGTCCCATCACGACGACCTCCACTGGTAGAGGGACTGACTGAAAGGTGTGTGGGTCTGCTCTTCAATGTGAGAGTGAATGCCTAACCCAATCTGTGCATGTGCATCCGCCCACGAGAGAGGAGCAAACGGACAAATCAATGGAGGATCAAAGAATCAGTCCAAGATGCAATACACACACACACACACGGGCGAAAGCTCCTGTCTGTGGAGCCGCAGCCGCACATACCAGAAGGCCATACTTGATTGGGGATGAAAAAGGAAGTGTCTCACCAGCAATCAACACTCTGAGAGAAACCCACACAGTGTCACACAATCATCAGTCATGTCTCCCTGTCCCTCCACGCCTCCTTCTGTCTTTTCCACTCGCCGGCCCTCTGCCTCCGATACTCCGATATGCACTCCTTGACCAGCCCCCGGGCCTTTCTCTTCATCTTGGCGGCCATCTCACCATCACCATCCACAGGGCTGCACATGGCGACCTTCAGCAGGTCCCCACACGCCTCGCGCCAGTGGTGCAGACGCGCACAGGCGATTCCTCGGCGGTAGTGCGCCTTCATGGCCGCCGAGCGGTCCTCAGGCGAAGCCGTGGCGTCCTCCGTGTGTGTGAGAGCGGCCGTCAGCGACCGCAGTCGCTGACGGCCTCTCTGTATCGGTGCAGCTTGAGATAGCACGACGCCCGGTTGAGCAGGAGGGTCCGCTCAGCCGATAAGATCTCTGCGCTGCGGTCGGCCGACGTCGTGTTGGGCTGCCCATAGGACTGCAGGAGGCCCAAGGCGCTAGTGTAGTCGTCGAGGGCTGCCCGGTGGTCGCCTCTGCTGAAGAGTTCGTTGCCTTTGGCCTTTTTCTCGAGGGCCGACGAGAGCAGAGTGCGGCGGACGGCCAACCCAGGCCCTCCGCCCTTGCCGATCTGCACCTTCATGGGCTGCCCCTGCCTCCCTTAGCGGACTCCGTCCTCTCCTTCACAAACGCACTGCCTGCGTGGTGGCTGGTGGTGGTCGTGGCCGCCCGTTGGTCAGCCCCGGAGTCTCGGTCAAGCCTCTCTGCCTCTTGGTCAGCCCATCTGTCCCAGGCGGCGTAGTAGGCCTTCATGTCGGCCTTGTCGCGCTGCAGCTGACGCGCCTCCCCCTCCGCCTCGCCCTGGTTGTCCTTGTGCGGGGCAGTGGCGGCGTGCTTGAAGGGGTTGTCCACCTTGTGTTTGGTCTTTGGGGCCTTCCTGTAGTCCTCCTGCCACTGGTAGAGGTCGTCGATGTAGCTCCTGGTCTCATCGGCGGTGCGGCGGATCTGGTGCTGAATCTCCATGACGCTCCGCTGAGAACTGACGGCCATTGTGGTGGGCTCGGTGGCTGAGAGGTGATGCTGGAGACCAGTCGCTCCGGTCCCTTCGTCAAAGACGGCAAGAGCTGCGAGACGCCCCCATTGCAGCGACATGCAAACCGTTTAGCGCATCAAAACTTGGCAAGTTATAAGAGTTGCTGTTATCGTATTGTTGTCTCCGACGCTCATTCGGTTGTCGGCATCATGGCTGAGAAGCATCCAGTTGAGGAGGTGGCTGCGCCATTGCACCAAATGCTCGGCGTTGTGGAACTCGGCATAATGACGCAGGTAAGGCACTGCATGCGACGCGATGACTGACAGGGAGGGAGCGGAGGGCGCAGTGGCTGCACTCACTGCATGCGTGTGGCTGTCGTCTGTCTGCCCTGCAGGTGTCCAGGGAGTTTGGGGAGTTGGTGACGAATCAGACGCTCATCGACCGCTTCAAGGATTACATCGACACCTACAACCTCGGCTGCCTCCTGCAGTACAGTGCGCGGCGCTTCACTTGCGCGACGAAGACTGAGGAGTACGCCGTTGAGCGCAAGAAGAAACTCTATCACCTCAACTACGTGGTAGAGAACTGCGGCCCACTGGACATCTGGGTAGGCACACACACACACGGGCGACGTGGAGGGGCACACTGATGGTGGATTGCTCCTCGGTGCGCTGTGTGTGTGTGCAGGTGCCTGTGATGCGCTACGCCGAGTCGTTCAAACGTGTCAAGCTGCCCATCCAGGTGGGCAGGCACCCCAAGGGCAGTCATTGATGCGGTCGTCGGGGTGCATTCCTTTGTGTTCTCACCCCCACCGGCCGCCGCAGGTGTCTGAGGACAAGGTCAGCATAGAGCTGGACAAGGGCGTGTTCGACAGCCGCCCGCACCGCCTGCGAGCCTGGTCACTCTTCAGGTAGGCGCAAGCGTACCCATCACCCCAGCCAGCTGCACACTGTGCCTTTGACTCTCTGTTCATGTGGTGTCCTTGGTATGTGTCCTATGCATAGTCTCTTTCTGGAGGGCTGCACTCGCGAGTTGTCGTTGAAGCGCATCTTGGTGGGCGGCCAGCCGCGGGACAAGCTGGGCAGCAGCGTGCTGACGGTCTATGGCCCGGGAGACCTGCACACCAACCACCCCTTCGCTGCAGGATACGATGGCAACGACCCCCGCGTCGGCGGTAAGTTCAAGAGAGAGGTGGTGGGGATCAGCGGAGGTAGAGGCGGCTCATGTGTGTCTGTCTGTCTGTCTGTCTGTGTGATCAGCGTTGAACACTGACCATCGCGGTCTCATGGATGTCGTTGTGCACCGGTGGGTCGGTGGACGGCACCTTGACGCACGCCGCACACACAGACCACCAGTCCACACACAGCGGCCACCCAGCTGGATGGATGCGTGTGTGTGTGTGGGTTTGTTGATGCAGTTTTCAGCAGAAGGCCAAGGCCGAGACGGTGGTGAGTGCGGTGCACTTGCCGGCCAATCCCGTGGCCTTCCTCCGCTGCCACGCACTCATCAACCAGGTACACACACGCACACACACGACACACACACAAACACACACATGTTTCTGTGTCTGTCTGTCTGTCGGCAGGCTCCCGACCAGCCCGTCTGGGGCCCCACTCGTCGGCTGCTGTGTGACACGTACACCGGTGCCGTCCGCAAGCGCACCATCGCGCTGTGCGGCCACCGCGCGGGCGACACATTCATGGCCCTGGTCGAGATCGAGTGGAACGTGCACATGACGGCCACCGTCTACACGACCGAGAAGCGCCGGGCGGGGCCGCAGGACGACCCGGAGAGCGAGTTCCCCATGACGGTGCAGCTGGTGCGCAACGCACTCGGGCAGCAGGAGGCGCACACGCTGCTGGGCTTGTGAGATGGATGGATGGATAGATGGGGGACGGCATACCATTGCTGGTGATGGTGTCGATAGACTGGGGCGGGAACGGGACGGACTCCTTTGCTATCCGTCTCTGTGTGTATGTATGTGCGTGGATGGATGGATGGATCGGTGATGGGATGGACCGATGTGATGGGCTGACGCTTTCCCTGGTCAAGAGACGATTTCCCTTGCTCATGTCAACACCGAGAGCTGGTCTGTCAGGTCACTCCATTGCCTCACCCTCGAAAGGTCCCAAAACCCTTCACCCCTCAAACCCTGGCTTTTAACAGAATGCGGTGATGAAGTGGATCAGATCTCCAGCCTCATGGTTTGAATGAAGCGGCAGCTGATCTTGCTCCACGTCGCTGTCAGCATGGTGATGATGGCCGTCGGTATCGGCGCCATCACTCAAGGCAGCAGCGGCGGCTTGCTCTCCCCTCAGCAGTATCAGCTGCCCATCCTGCTGGAGCCACAGCACCCCTCACCCCGCCCACAGAGGATCAGGCGTTCTGCATCGCGAGATCCGCTGCTCGGCTCCCTGCTGTCGAGGGATGGCTGGAGTGCCATGGACAGCGAAACCGCTCCGCACTGGAGGGAATGGAGGAGGCGGACCTTCAGCGGCAGGAGCGCGGGCGCAGCATTCATCCGTCCGCCGGCTGGTCTGTCCATCCAACAGCGGCGTCACATTACCAGGCGCTCCAAGCGGCCACATCCTCTGCTTGCGTCTTCCACGCCACTACCAGGCGACGATAATCGCGGAGTTCCCTCTCCCCGTCACTCTCCCGCCCCCCTGTCCCCGCCCATGCATCATGGCCGTCGTCGCCGCGTCGCCTCCTGCCTCGAGCAGATCGACGACTCATCCCTCGCCACGCCCTCGCTTCAGGTCGACTGCCTGCTGCAGGTCGTTAAGCGGGCCATGACGGACGTCAGGAGGGCCGCCAGGGCCGGCCAAAGAGTGCGGTTCGAGGCGCTTGCCGCGTCCAAGGCCTTCAGCGACGCCAGGTTTGTGCGGCTGGTGGACATGGTGACCGAGTCGGTGAAGCAGGCCACCCAGGTGTTCCCGCTGCAGGAGCCCATCGTGTGGAGGGAGGTGTCGAGGCTCGCGTGGATGCTGGCGTTCAACCGGCCGCTGCTCAACCACAGGCCGGCACAGAGGCTCCTGGAGGCGGTGCTGCACCACGTGGCCCGGCGGCTGGAGCTGGAGGAGCACACGGATCACGCCGGCCCGAATCAGCAAGACGATACCGACGTTGACGTGCGGCAGACCTACTCCGCCCTGGCGGAAGACGGCACACCGTCGGCCCGGCTGCTCCAGTGCGTCGCCCGGTTAAGGTGGAAGGCCTTCGCCGAGCAAGAGTTCCAGCCACCGGCACCATCGTCGCGAGGAGAGTCCGGGCTGTGGACAGATGAGCCTCTGGCAGATGTGGACGAGGGCGTGTTGTGTGAGGTGGAGGACGGGCTGTGGCGTGTAATGTCGGATGGCGTCTTTGGTCTGTCGCCCCATGCGCTGAGCAGCGTGGCGCAGGCGGCGGTGGCCGGTGGGAGCGAGGGGGGCGGGGAGGAGAGGATCAAGAAGGTGGTCACCAGTGCGCAGCGGAGGCTCATCGACTTCAGCGGTAGGGAGGGCGGGAGGGAGGGAGGGAGGGGGAGAGGGAAGGGTGTGGCGTCAGGCAGTCAGCCTTGTGTGCTTGTGCTGATCGACCAGATGACCCGTTGAATTGCCTGTCGATCATCTTGGCCTCTGCACGTAAGCTCGACCTGGCGGATTGGGTCCTCCGCGGCCTGCGCTACAAGTTCCCTTCGATGGACGCCACAGAAACCCTCATCACCCTCCTGGCCCTCTGCAAAGCCGGCTACCGGCCGGGCAGCACCGTCATGACCAAGGACACGTTCATCGCCCCCGTGCAGAAGACCCTCGACGCCGTCGACTACCTCAAGCCCTTCCAGCTCAACAACCTCCTGCGCGTTTGCCTGGACTCGGGCATCGCCGACACCAAGGTCTTGCGGGCGGTTCTGTCGGCCATCTTGCGGCGGCTCCGTGACTACGGCTTCGACATGCTGAACCAGGTGCTGACGACGCTTCATGTGCACCGGGAAGTCGTGCGGCAGACGGGCGTGCTGGCGAGGCAGCAGAGGATGCCCTTACACGCGCGAGAGGACGGGCAGCCCGACTTGAGTCAGGTCGGTGTGGTGGGTTTCTATCTGTGTTTCTATGTGTGTGTCGGTGTCTGTGTGTGTGTGTGTGTGTTGTGTGTCAGTTCTGGGACGTGCTGCACGAGCAGCTGCAGCGGTGCACCCAGCTGGGCGGGGTGCCGGCCATCGAGCTGTCCAGCACCGTCGAGCAGCTGGCCGACCTCGGCGAGCTGTCAACCGGAGTCGTGCACAGGTAGGGTAACCTCACTCACGTCACCACACCACTGCAGTGATGGGGTGGATGAGATGACTGCAAATCGGGGTGTGTGTGCGTGTGTGTCTGTGCGCGTGTATGTGTGTGTCAGTGCTATGGACGCGCTGCAGCGTCAGGCGGCTGCTGAAGGGAGATACAGCATGGTGACCCAGGAGACATTGCTCCGGCTCATCAAGAGCACCAACACACAGCCGTAAGTTACCAAGCGCACAAGGGAAGGGAAGGGAAGCCACCTGTCCTATCTGACACGAGAGCCTCTGTCCCTTTGTGTGTCCCTTGCTTTTGTGATGATTGATGCAGTCTTAAGGACGACCAGGTCATTGCCCGGCTGCACGCCCTCGTGGCTGATGCGGCCCCCCAGCTGCGCTTCTACCACCTCACCCAGATCCTCTCAGCGATAGGCCGCTCCAACCACACCCTCACCCGCACCCTCGCAGAAACCGCCACTCGCCGCATGGACAGACCGCACCCCCAGAGCGACGGCGTCACACCATTCCTGGCGATGCGGGCCGTCCACGGCCTGGCCATGGCGGAGGTCCCTGTTGACGAGCCGTGGGTGGAGGCGGCAGTTGAGAGCGCGTGCAGGGTGCTGGGTGGGTATATGGAGGACCGGGGGACGTATGTGAGCGCACTGACCTACACGGGGGTGCTCCACTCGCTCGGCAAGATGGGCCGCCTCGACGCTCACACCCAGCTGCTCGCCAGCATGTTCCGGAGGATGCTCGACGAGGGGTTTGGCACCTGGCCGCCCCAGGCGGTCTGCCAGTTACTGCAGCTCTTCTACCGCCACGCCATTGAGTGCCCCCAGATCCTCGACGCACTCGAGGCGCCGCTGAGGCGGGCCATCACCAAGGCGCCGCTGTCCCACCTGGGGAGGACCCTCGCCGCTTATGTGCTGCTGGGTCGGCATCAGGGGGACGATCGTCTGCTCGACCTGGCTTTGCGCTACGTCGCAAAAAACGACTTCGCCGTGCTTGACAAGATGGATATCCCAACGGTAGGTGGGGTGGGTCGGTGTGTGTGAGGAAGAGGAGCCTCGCACAGCACACTGGCCTTCGTGTGTGGACTGGACGGACCTCCATGTGTGTCTGTCTGCATGGCATGCAGCTTCGGCGTCTGCTGTGGGTTACGAGCAAGTCAGGCTATGCGCGGGGCGTCAGGTGGACCGACGCCGAGCCGTCCTTGGCCACAGCACACCAACAGAGGGACACAGACCCAGGCGCAGATCCCGACGACAGCGACGAGCAGCTTGTGGCCCCGCTGTTCCACCGGGCGGCCACTGTGCTGCGGAGGCGGCAGCGGGAGCTCGGCGGCAACGATGTTACCAACATCGCTTGGAGCTTCGCCACTGCTGGCGTCTTCGATGAGCCCCTGTTTGTCGTACTCGTGGAGGTCAGTCAGACTAACGATCTGATCTCCCACACCACACCACACCCAGCCATGCCATGCCATGCCATCAACCCAGAGCGCCTGTCGTGTGTGTCGTGTGCAGGTGACGAAGAGTTTGGTTCGCAATGGCGAGATGAGCGACTACGACTTTGCGGGAATGCTGCTGTCGCTGGGCCGGCTGCAGGTGCACGAGCGGGCCATCTGGAACCTTGCCATCAACGTCTTTCACCCACGGCTGCTCGACCTCTCGCCACACGTCCTGGCCATGCTCATCTGGAGCCTGCAGAAAGTCAAGGTATACGCACCTTTCTGTCTGTCTGTCTGTCTGTGTCGACCTGGCTCAAAGTGGCTGTGTGTCTGTCTGTGTTGTGTGTGTGTGTGTGCGCGCGTGGTGGATGGCAGCACTTTCCCTCGAGGTTCCGTGAGCCCGCTCTACAGGTGGTCGTGATGCGGCTGCACGAATTCACCATCGCACACCTCTCGGCCATCTGCTCCGCATTCGCCGCACTGGACCCCAAAGAGCTCAATGGTACGCTACTCACAACACACACACAGACACACACACACAGACACAGACACAGACACAGACACACGTGTGTTGTCGTATGTGTGGCTGTCTGATGGGCGGGCGAGCCAGACCGGCATCGTACGGTGGGCGCGAGGTTGGCCCGTCTGGTGTCCCAGCACGCCGATGCGCTGGCGGCTTGGCAGCTCACCAACGCCCTCCTGGTCACCGTACGCATCGGTCTCGTGGACACACGCCTACCCATGACAGTCGTCCACGAATTTCTCAGAAGGTCAGTGAAGGAGAGAGAGAGAGAGAAAGAGAAAGAGAGACCAAGACGGGCATCCTGTGCGAGGCTGCAGACCGACAGACTTCGGTTCCCACCAGCTGTCCAACCTTTTGTGGAGTCTGGCGCGTATCCCCACCACCACCATCAGCAACGGCGACCTCTCCGACTTCTTCGATGCCGCTGCGCGTCGGGCTGTCTCGCTGCTGCCCGAGTGCAACTCGCAGGACCTCATGGGCCTCCTGTGGGGCTTCTCGCGGCGGGGCGTCAAGAGGCACATGCTGTTCAAGGCGGCGTCGCCCTACGTGCGGGCCAAGCTGTCGACCTTTACGCCAAAGGAGGTGGCCTACGTCATGTGGGCGTATACCAAGCAGGGCAAGGGCGCGGCGGCGCCGCAGCTGCTGACGGATATGGCGCAGGAGGCGCTGATTCTGATGCCTCATTTTTCGGCCACCGACTTCACCGGGCTCGTGTGGGCGTTCGCCAAACAGGTGAGGGAAGGGTGCGGGCTGTCAGGTGCTGCGACAGAGGGACACGTGGGAGTGTGTGTGTGTGTGTGTGTCAGGAGTACTATGCGCAGCACTTCTGGTACGCGGCCATCCAGGACAACTTCCTGCCCAACCTCAATTCCTTCGAACCCAACGCCCTCTCATACTGCCTATGGTCAGTCAGTCGGTCAGTCACCATAGCAAACCACAGCAAACCCAATACTCTCCTTCCTCCTCTCTCTGGCTGTGTCTGTGTCTGCCTGCCTGCAGGGCATTTCAGCGGTCGGGTGTGTTGGGCCTCAGCGGCATGAACCTGGAACGCTCACTCGTCAACCTCCGCCCAGACGTCACACGGGCCACCACCCAAGACGACCGCCCACCCACAGGTCTCCCGTCCCCTTCTTCAGCGGCAAACTTGCCGTTGTCAGTGTCGCCACCAGAGCCCCCCGTCGTGTCGAGTGAGGGCATTCGGCTGGTGGATGTCGACTACATCCTCTCACCAGAGGAAGAGCTGGGCATCGGCGGCAGTCCGAATGGTGTGGGGGAGAGGGAGAGGGAGAGGGAGAGGGAGAGGGAGATGCACAGGTCGGGGGCTGCAGCTGCTGCTGCTGCGGGGGGGTCATAGATAGACAGAAAGATGGAGGGAGGGAGACGTCGATGGGTGTGGTGTGGTGTGGCTTGCCAATGCAGTGTGGGTCAGTGACTGGCTGGCACGGTGTTGGTGTGGTGGTTCTTCCTGAGTCTGAGTCTGAGCCCGTCTTGTGAGGTGTCGTGTGAGGAAGAGTCAATACATGAGCTAACAGTACATCCAGGCTAAATGTACGGACGACACTTTGGGCTGCATCGTTTGTGGTTGTCGTGAATGACTTGATTCGATACACCCGGCACACCACAAAGGTTTGGCAGTCCATCCATCCATCCATCCTGGCCCCCTCGCTCCATACTTACTACTTACACACACACATCCACACATCAATCAGATGACTCCCCTTCATCTTGGGCGAGGCGAGAGTCGCCGGCGCGTCAATCAGTCAAACTCGCTTCTGGGCCAGGCGAAATACAGCGACACTCCCAAGAAAATGATCAGGAATATCTAAGGCAGAACAAAGCAGAGTGCACGTTAACACAGGAGAGTGGAAAGAGGGGAGTTGGGAAGCCCGTTCTTTCTCGTCTCATTCCCTCATTCCCTTATATATCACTCACCAGTTCTCTCCGATACATCTTGACCCGGTAGTCGCCTCTCCAGGACTTGAGCGAATACCCCACAACCGCACCGTAACCAGGACCCTCGCGCACCTCACCATCACACCAACCTACACACACACGCACACACACACACAGAGAGAGGGATGGATGGATGGATGGATGGATGGAAACACCCACATCTCTGACGATGATGCATTTCCTGGGCCCACCCACCTTGGCGCACTGGCGTCTGTGTCGTGGATTGGCGGGGCGATGGGGCACGGAGGGGCTGATTGTGCGTGATGCGGCAGGGAGAAATGACGCTCTTGGACGGCTTGCCGGAGGGACAGCCCTGGGATAAGGTCTGACCCTCCATCGCCTTTTCAAAAGCCATGCGCACGGACGGCGTCTAGTAGATTGACAGACAATCAAGCAGACAGTGGAGCGGATAATGCGGATCTTTCTCTCCGCTTCTTACCATGGCAGATGTGAGCGCCACCGACAGGCCATCCATCCTGTTCCTCTGCCGGCCCTGCAGCCAAGCAAGAGGGCGATGAGTCAATCTCGCTGGCGAGGTCACGAGATTGCTTCTTTTGATTTCGCCTACCTGCAGACGTGCAGACTGGCAGTGATGAGCAACAGGGGCACCTTGCTGCTGGCCGCAGCCTTGACCATCGACGGTGACACACGCAACTCGAGCAGCAGCAGCGCCGTTTGCAAGAAACGGTGTTTTCCTGACGAGGAGCGTCCTTTTGGCCAGTCGGCTCACGGATGACGCACTCATTTATTATCTTCGCTTCTCAACCAGTGGTCACGGGCGATCCCAGAATAAGCTCGCAAATCACTGGCAGCACTTCTTCCTCCCCCCCTCTCCATCAAAGGCCCATCCTCCCGCAACCACTGCAGGCCAGGCCCTGAGAGAAGCGGAATGAAGCTGATTATCGGCATCTCTCTCGCCCTTGTGGCGCTCTCTGCTGTCTCTGCTTTCGTCCCGTCACAACCCTCCCTGTAAGCTGCACATCCATCCATCTGCAGATCTGCAGGCTGTTCACCCTCTTCTGTGTGTGTGGCTGTGCCCAGGTCCCTTTCAAGGTCATCCAGCCCCCTGGCACGTCGAAGAGGTCTGTCAATGAAGTCACCGCCGAGGGTGGAAGATGCAGCAATCCCCACCACCGCCCTCGCCGCCTCCCTCGTGCCCCTCCTGCAGTCCCTCCCAGCATCGGCCGCCGAGGGCGATGTTGCGTCGTCGGCCCTCGACGCCATGTCGACCCTGCCGCTGGCGGACGAGATGATACCGGTGATTCAGCTTTCGTGGATCGCGACGCTCATCGGTGTGGTGACGGGGTTCGCCCTGCTGCAGGCGCAGAAGTTGATTGACTCGAGGTTTGATGAGGTCTGATGATATGGTGCATTCTTATGGGTGGACGGACGGACGGACGGATGGGGTGGTGAGGCAGTTTTGAGAATGAGAGAGAGATGGATGGATGGGTGGGTCGATTGATGAATGGACAGCAGGGGGCGTTGCGTTTGTGGCATATATCCCCCCAACACACTGAAACGACGGACTGATGTGTGATTTTCTTTGTTTGAATGACGTCTCATCTCAGCTGATTATCCAGTCAGTCCCTCGACTCGACGCTGCTTCCCTCCCTTCCTCTGTCTGTGCATGCAGTCGTCAAGTCGTCGGTCGATCATTGCAGTGCAGTCAGTCCCTCCAGATGAGATGAGCAGTCGACGTCTGGCTGCCGCTGTCTGTCTAGAAATCTATCTGTACATTCAATGCAGACAGCCCACTCCACCGGCTTGGATGTTGAGTTGAGCACACACTTAGTTGAATTGATTATGGACGGACATTCAATCAAGCCATTAGTGTCCTGCACAGCACATGGATGGATGTACGCCGCACTCACTCACTCACTGGCTACTCTACGCCACGTCTCACTCCACCGATGACTGACTGACTGACCAGTTCCCCTCCCTCCCGCCCTCCCTCCGTCCGTCAGTCGACTAATCAATCAGTCCTTGTCCACCACACCCGCCACGTGGCCGTGCTCGTCGAACTCGCGAGGGTACAGCATGTCCATCTCTGCAGGCAGGCAGGCAGGCGACTGGTATCTTGAGCTTCTGTTTTGCTGGCCTGCCCTGCCTCTGAGACTTGTGTGTGTCTCGACTCGATCGATCACTGACCGTGTCGTCTGACTATGGTGGGGGTGAGTGTCTGCAGCACCTCCAGCACCTCCACAGCTGCCGGCCGCTCTCGAGGGTCCCGGTCAAAACACTGCATCAGCGCGCAGAGACACACATACACACAGAGAGACACACATCCAGACAGAGAGAGAGAGCGGCGCCAGCCCACCCTTCCTCCCTCCCTCGTGCCGCACCGCACACCTGTTCGATGATGCGCTTGGTTTGTATTTCAAAGGTCTCTGGGATGGTTGGGTTCTTGCGCTCGTGGAAGATGCGTCGGATGACGTCGGGCATCTTGTCGAGCTCCTCGTACGGAATGGGACCCCCAAACAACTCGATCAAACAACAACCTGCACACAACACACGCCGCCCGAGGGGCCGGCGAGGGCGTGAGCGTGTGTCGCTTGTCTGGTCGATTGATTGATTTGTGGCACAGACAGCTCTCGTCTTATCTAACCGAGTCCCCAGATATCGGCTTTCTCGTCAATGGTGCCGCCCTTCATGTAGCTCTCGGGCGCCTGCATAGACACACACACACACACACACACAAAACACACACACGAGATGTGCGACAAATACGGCACTGCCGGCCGGAGCCGTGTGTGTCTCCCTCCCTCCCTCCCTCACTCACTCACTCACTCACCATGTATCGCGGCGAGCCGCCGTTGTCATCCAACACCAGGAACTGTCCGTTCTCCTGCAGACACACGCAGAGGGACGCACACAGCGATCGATCAGGTGGCATGACAGACACGACAAGGTGTCTGGTGTCGGGTGTGCCTTTCTCTCTCTCTGTCTATCCTAACTACCATCTTTTTGGCCATTCCGAAGTCGCACAGCTTCATCTTCCCCCTGTTGTCCAGCAGCATGTTCTGATGCGATGCGATGCGATGCGTCAGTTAGTCAATCCACACCACACAAGTATAGACACACAGACAGATGCCTGTGGGATGAGTGAGATGCGCATGTGTTGTGTTAACATTGCCTCCAGGCCCTGCCTGTGTCTTGAGGTCGCGGTGGACGATGGGCGGCGTCATGCTGTGAAGGTATATCACCACCTCACACTGAGACAGACAGACAGACAGGCACGGACAGAGGCAGAGAGGGAGAGGGAGAGGGAGAGGGAAGCAGACTGCCTTACCCCCCCTCATTCCCTGGTCGCTCACGTACCAGTTGCTTCGCATAGATCAGCCGCTCCTCCGCCGTCACGACGCGCAAATGGTTGAACAAAATGTCAAACAGATTCCCTAAAAGCACACAGGCACACATGATTGATCCATGGCATGCATGCCTGTGTGCCTGTCTCATCTCACCTACCTCCGTGAAGGTATTCGGTGACGATGGCCAGGTGTGGCGGCTCGATGCACACGCCGACCAGCCGCAAAATGCTGCGGTGAGACACCACACTGGATGCCACACACAGGACACTTACGTGACACACACACACACAATATTCATTTTGAAGAGATGCAGGCCGACCGATATGCGTTGAGCTCCCGCTCCAGGTTGAGGAAATGCTCCTTCGATATGGGACCAGCTGCATACATACACACGTGTATGTTCGATCAGGCCCTTGCTGACTGACTGACTCCCTCCCTCACTTTTGTCAGAGAAGAAGACCTTGACGGCCACGTCCCTCTCGCCAAACTCGCCGCGATGCACACCACGAAACACCTGTAGACACACACGCACACAGACAGACACGGCAGCCAGAAAGAAGAAAAAAAGAGAGGGTAGCGGGCTGTGATGAATAGATCGCGTACTGATCCGAAGGCCCCCTCGGCAATGAGATATTTGAGCTCCAAATCTGCCCACCCAAAGTACCCACACACGCATCAGATATATATGGGGTTAGAGTGCGTTGATTGATTGCCTGATTGAATCACGTGACGTACCTTCCCACTTGATAATCTGGCTGGGCTCGTATGCCTCCGGGTCAAACGCCAACATGTACTCTGATCGATTTGTATATGTAATTATGTAAGTATCATCTACGTATGATGATGTGCTCTCTGACTCACGGGCGTACCTCCGCTGTCTGTCTGGAAGATATATGCGGGCCCGCCGGGCTTCTGTCGGGCACATATGTTGTTCCCGGCGGCCCGCAATGCCGAGGCGCCACTCCTGCCCCCTCCGCCGCTGCCGTGGCCACCACTGCCGCTTGAAGGACGCCCCTGCACGACACAACACCCCACAGCACAGCACAGCACAGGAGAGCACAGCACAAACAAGATCCTTAGATCCTTTCCTCTATTTGTGTGTGTGTGTGTGTGTGTGTGTGGAGTGTCTCTCCGCCTGCTCCATGATCACCCTGCTCCGTGCTCTCTCCCTGTCTGCCTTCATTTTGGCGATGACTCCCTTGACATTGCAGCACTTCGCGTCGATGACCCCCCTGTCCTCCTCAGTGGCCCCCCTCTGCTGAGACTGCACCCGCTGCCGCTCCTCACGACGGCGACGCTCCTCCACACGCTGCTTGGCACGGGCCGGGCCGCTCAACAAGGGCCATGCACCCGGCGAGGGCGAGCGACTCCGGATGCGCTGAGGAGGAACTGTCGCCTTGGCGGGGGCTATGCCAGAGCGAAACGGGGGCTTGGGAGCAGCCTGATGGACGATACAAGACAGACGGGCTGTGGATTACTTACTGATGTGATGACGTGTGTGTGGTTGCCTTGCCTCCCCTCCATGTACCTACCGATACTGTACCTACCTCTTGTGAGAGTCGTGTGCCCTGTCTCTGCACAGGGGTGGCGGAGCCCGTGGGGGTGGGGCGCCGCGACAGCTCACGCAGCACTGGGGGCGTGCGCACCGGAGACCGCCCGCGGCTTGCTGGCCGACTCTACACAAGACGCACGCAACACAAGGAGAGAGGCGGAAAGGGATGGATGGGTGACAATTCTGCCTATTGGATGGATGGATGGATGGATAAATGGATGGATGGCCTGACTCACCACCTTGGCCGACGGTCGTTTGGCTTTCGGTGGAGTGGCGACGCCTCGCGGACCGAACGAAAAAACGCCATTGTTTCCTGACGAGTCCGTGGCTTTGCTACCGTGGCCACCCGACTTGCTCTCCGTCTTATGATTCTGTGCATGCCCCCGGTGGCCCTGCATAGCCGTGGGGGACGACGACCGGTCCACAACACGGGCAGGAGGCGACCGGTCACGGCCCTACACACAGTCACGGGATGCATGCGATGTCTGTCTCGGTGTGTGTGCGTTTCTGTATGTCTGTGTCAACCGCCTTACCTGTGCTGGAGCCGCTTTGCGTGTGAGGGGAGTGTGTCTGCCTGACCGGCTGGGCGCTGTGCGGGGCGGGGGGCCGCGCAACTGGACGGCAGAGGGTGGGACGGTAGGCCGCTTGGCTGCCGGGAAGTTGGGAGTTGGCGGTCGATTGGCGGCCGCCCTGGCGTGAAGACGATAAATCTTGGCCGCTGCACACACCCAGACAGACGGAGACATGCAGGCTTATAGACGGACAGGGGGTGTTTGCCTGCGTACCGTCTTTCGGGTGGTGTCCCTTCTCAGCCGTTTCGAAGGGCTTGTTGGGCACTTTGCTGAAGAAGAGATCGGCCGTTTCTGTCCGCCCATTGTCGGGAACGTTAGACTGACCGCCCGTCACTGTCGAAAGCCGAGACACCCTGGTATTCCGCCCAAGTGCCGTCCCCCTGACAGAGAGACAGGCCATTCAGGAAAGCATTCATCTGTCTGTCACCCACCTGTGCTGCTGGTCAGCGCCGGTTTGTTGCCGCACGACGGTAGTGTGCTTATTCTTGTTCTGCTGGTCGTCTTTTCCCACCCCCCAAGCAGCCTTGGCAGCGGCCACCGTGGCGGCACCGAGGTCCCCCTCGGCATCGTCTTCCTCTCGCACGGACCGCTCGAATCTGATGACCTGACTTGGCTGCAGGTGCCGCATCTTGGGGTCGAAGAGGTCCGACTCCCACGTGTCGTAGGTATTGGGCTTGCCCGACTGGTACTCCTCCCGCTTTATCACGTTGAAGCGGCTCTTGCGCGCCGGGACCTCGACCCATTGAGGGGGGGCCGTTTTGGGAGCAGCAGCAGGAGGGCCGACGACCAGTGTGACCCGGCCCCGCTCGCCTTGTGGTTGTGTCGGCTGCATCTGCTGCACCTGGCCCTGGGCCATTCCATACTGCTCCCTCCTGATTGTGTGGCTGAGCGGGAAGACGCTCTGCGGCGGCATCTGCCGCACCAAGAGAGGCTGCCGCTTGTGTGGTAAGTGGTAGGCCTCCCTCTCGAGTGTGTGTGTAGTGGGCTTCCTCTTATACGGGTCAGGCCACGCTGTGACTGCGACTGCAGGTGGCTGAAGCACAGGCAGACCGGGCCCCCCGTGTCCGTGAGGGGTGAGTGGTGTGGAGTGGAGCACCGGCGTGGATGGCGTGGGAAGCACGTGCGGGAGAGGCGGCACTGACGCCGGCCTGGGTGCTGAGGCCGAGTGCTTCATGAAATATGGGGGCGAGAGGCCCATGCCATAGGGCGGGGGGACGAAAGGGGTGGCCATGGCGGGGAGGGGTGGGTTGGTGCGTTGCTGCGGGAGGGCAAAAGGATTCGGGGAGGGCGGATACTGGATCATTGTGTGTGTGGGGGTCAATGCAGATGCGCTCGGGTGGCCAGTGCCAGACCGTTGCTGTCTTTGAATCGTTGAAGCTTTCCTGCGCAATCAGTGCAGAAAGCACCGAAGAGCGTACATGCGACAGAGACGGGGACCGTTACGGAACAGTAAGTGACGCACCTGCTCCTAAGCGTTGTGGGTCAATGCAGTAGCGTCAGCAGTGACAGGGGGCGCCTTACTGTGGAGCCGTAGTCGCAAACCGACCTCGATGGAAGCGCCGAATCGCCTGTGAATGCTTCGTCTTGAGAGGACCGAATCTGAAAGAGATCTCTCGACTCCGCTTGCGCGTTGTGCGTTGGAAGTGTTGTCTGTGCCAAGGACACGCGGTCAACGCTGAAACCAGCCCCTGATTCATTGAGGGGCCCCCAGTCTTTGCGAGCTGGCCCCCATGCATTTTTTGATAAAGGGCTTAGCCTAGGGACGAGTAGAGCGTGGCAATGGACGACTCTGCGATGGAGAATGTCACTGCGTAGCAATGGAGGGCGTTCAACAGCGCAACCTTCAGTTCCTGGGCATCGGCCGCATTCGCGATGCTGCTGTGCTGGCGTCCCGCTGCGAGGTGCCGGACAGCAAGTGGCGGTCCGAGACCGAGGCCGTGTTCGTCAAGCTCCTCGAGGCCGCCAAGCTCAAGCTCGGACCCTCACAGAGGCAGCGGCTGCAGTGGAACGACGGACTCGTGTGCTGCCTTGTTGACAACGCCGGCATCCTCCTCTACTGCGTCGTCATCTCCAACATGGAGTACCCCGAACGACATGCATTCGCCCTCCTGGCCGACCTGATGAGCGAGATACAGCAGCACTACCAGATTGGCGATGGCGGGGAGGGCGTTGACAGGGGTGGGGAGACCGCAGCTGCGGCAGCGGCGAGTAGCAGCAGCAGCACTGGTGCTGCTGGGGGGAGGCTGTCGAGGAGGATATTGGAGCTGTCACCTGGGGCGCTCACGCGGGCGTTCGGACGGAAGATGGGCGAGCTCATGCAGGCGAGTACCACACCCACACCCACCACCCATCGGGCGACTCACACCATTGTTCTCTGTGTCTGTCGTGTTTGTTTTGCCTGCTTCGGGATCAGGCGTATGAGAACCCTGCGCATTTCGACCGCATCCACGGGTTGCTGGGCAAGGTGGACGCCGTCAAGGGCGTGATGCAGGACAACGTGTCCAAGATCCTCAGCCAGTCAGAGGACCTCCAGGCCCTCACACACAAGTCGGAGCAGCTCTCCACGTCCGCCCGACAGTTCGAGGTCTCCTCGCGGCAGGTGCGGGTGCAGGCCGCCCGCCGCTACTACTTCTGGTGGTTCATCACCTTGCTCGTACTCGTGGCTATCGGCGGCATCTTCCTCTGGATCTACTGGCCAATCCGACACACCCAGCCGCCAGCCCCCTCCCCGCACACCGCCCCATCGCAGCATATCCCCCACGCCCCACCCACGCCAGACAGCCCCTCGCACCCACCACCCCCGCCCCCCAAGAAAACACCAACTAACAGCAGCACCAACACCAGCAGCAGCCACCAACCACCAAGTGGGACCGACAGCCGCGCCAGCAAGCTCTCTCACCTCCCTGCTCTGCCGCCCCCCGCCATGAGTGACGCAGGGGATGATGATGCTGCAGCTCCACATGGTGGGTTAACCGAGGAGCAGCGCGCGATCGGCTTCCGGCTGCCGGTGTTTCGGGCCAATCACTCGACTGTGTCGCGTGTGGACGTACCGGCGGCTTCATCTTCTTCTGCTGCCGAGAGGGCGATGCTGCTGTCTCTGAGCGAGAGGGCCGCGTCGGAGATGGTGGGTGCAGGGCACCGTGTGAACCGGACGCACGTGCTCAAGACGGATGTGCAGATGAGGGTGGTGTGGGAGCGGCGACAGCGGAGGAGGCAGAGGCGATAGACAGACAGACAGACAGGCAGACAGTTAGGCGGATGAGATGCAGAGAAGGCCGAGTGGTCATGGCTTGTTTACACAGACAGACAGACAGACAGACAGACATGTGCATTTTTGGGCGGGGCGGGGCGGGCAGGACACTGAGAGATAGAAACGCATGTATGCTATGCTTTGCGTGTGTCATAGGCAGATGACTGAATAAGTGTTGGACGGCCCGGCCTTCCCTCCATATCAAATCAAACGATAGCAGCGCCCATACCGCGCAGTGCCTTTCCGTCACTGCATGCACACATGAATCGATCTGCCACACAAGCCGCCCACGAAAGGATGCCATGGGCGTACTCTCACTGTCCTCCTCTCCTCGGAGTGCAGATCTATTGCGAGCTTCGAGATCTCCAGAGTGAACACGCGAGATGCTGCTCGTGTGCTGAGCGCTCTGTTGCCCACCCCAGGCCAGCGCCCCGAGCCGATGGAGAGCGTGCCCGAGACGACGCACACGGCGACGAGCGTGAGTGTGAGCGAGAAAGGTCCTCGGGCAGGGACCGGCTATAAGGACGACAGTCCCACGAGCGAGTATGTCGACAGGCCACACACACATGGCCATGCTGCCATTGCGCAAGAGGGAGAGGGAGAGGATGGGCGCGGGGAGAGGACCAAGAAACCGCCTCTTGGTGGCGGTAGCGGTGTCGTGACGTTCGAGGCCCTCAATCATGTGCCGAGTGAGTGGGACAGGGAGAGAAGGCAGAGGAGACGACTGACTCCACGTGGATGGCATCGGTGTGCGGATGCATGTGTGTGTGTGTTCAGGTGAGATCTCGATGCAGGACGACTGGATTGGTCTGCTTCACACCGGTATGTGTGCACAAACACGCCGACACACGACACACAGACAAACAGGCAGGCAGGCAGGCAGGCAATTGTGTCGCTGGCTGTGTTGGCGCTGTTTTGGTTCGTTCAGGCATGTGTCCCGACCCGTACGAGTGCCTCGGCTGTCACCCCTACAAAGAGGAGGACGGATGGACCTACTACGTACGTAACTATCCACAAACCAAACCAAACCACACACTGCACTGCACAGACAAAAGGCAGACAGACAGACAGACACGCGATCAATTTGCCCCTCCACTGCAATGTCTGTGTCTCTCATCCCGACCCACCCACAGATCATACGGGCCTGGATAGGCCACGCCGACCGAGTGCGTGTGCGGTCTCTCCCGAGCAGCAGCACCTGCGTCATGACCAACGGCCCGTCCGGCAACAGCGAGCCCATGGAGCTTACCAAGCGGGCCGATTGGCTCTTCGAAGGCACCCTCAGGGCCAAGACGCCGGAGGGGCAGGAGCGGGAGGCGCCTGACTTCGAGTACGAGTTCCTCATCACCTACAGTGGCGAGCCGGAGCTGCCGTACCGGGACCCCTTCTCGTTCAAGAACCTCCTCATGCAGAAACCCGAAGACCTCAGGAAATTCGCATCAGGTGGGTATGTGGGTGGGTGGGCCTGGGTTGCTTGCGGTAGGGGGCGTGTGCAGTGGCTGGCTGCATGGACGCGTGTGTGTGTGTGTGTGTGTGTGGTTGCAGGGTCGTGTTGGCACGTGGACGACCTGATGGGTAGCCACTACATGGACATCGACGGCAGCGGGCTGTGGGGCACGAGATTCAGCGTGTGGGCCCCTGAGGCCAGGCACGTGTCGGTCGTGGGCGACTGGAACGGATGGTCAGAGAGAGGGAGAGACGGAGGGAGGGAGGGAGGAAGGGACGGTGCATAGGATGCATGGCCGGGGTGGTTTGTGTAGGGACGGGCGTGCCCACCCTTTGCGAAAGATTGCCGAGTATGGCGTGTGGGAGATGTTCATCCCCACTGCGCTGCCCGGCCACAAGTGAGTGAGCCGCACACAGGCAGAGAGAGAGACAGACACCGATATGTCCGTGTGAGTGCACTGCAGGTACAAGTACCGCATCATCACCGCTGGCGGCGGCGAGCTCTTCAAGGTGGACCTCTACGCACAGGAGTACGAGAACCCCCCAGAGACCGCATCAATCATCAGCAAATGCGACGACACGTCAGTCAGTCAGACAGACAACCCCACTCGACACGACACACGTGTGCCAATGCCGCCAATCCGATCCAATGCCCTGTATGTCTGTGTGTGGTGTGGTGTGCAGCTACCGTCCCGCCTCGGAGGCCTTCGAGTGGACCGATGCCGAGTGGATGGCGCGAAGGGCGGAGCTCGGCCGCAAGGGAGTCGTCAACCAGCAGCCCGTGTCCATCTACGAGGTAGGGTACCCTCACCCAACACACACACACACACACTCCAACAAACCAAGTGTTGGAGTGTTGGAGTGTGTGTGAGTGTGTGTGTGTGTGTGTGTGTAGGTGCATTTGCCGTCGTGGATGCGTGGCGAGGACGGGCGTTATTTGAGCTACCGCGAGATCGCCCCCCGGCTGGTGTCGCACCTCAAGGCCATTAACTTCACACACGTAGAGTTCATGCCACTCTCACACCACCCCTTTGAAGGTCAGGTCGGCGAAACCCCTGCCATCCAGCCATCCATCTATCCATCCAAGCATGAAGCGCTTGTGGGATGCATGTGTGTGTGTGTGTGTGTGTGCAGGGTCCTGGGGCTACCAGGTAGGTGCGTTCGCGCGTCCGTCTGGCAACACACACACACACACACACGCGCGCACTTGTCCGTCCGTATCCCTTTTCCCTGCAGGTGACGGGTCAGTACGCCCCCTACAGCCGTCTGGGCTCCGCCGACGACCTCAAGCACCTCATCAACGCCCTCCACGAGGCGGGCATCGGCGTGTTCCTCGACCTGGTCCCCGCTCACTTCTGCAAAGACGCCTGGGCCGTGACCTGGTACGACGGGTCGGCGGCCTACGAGTACAGCGACCCCCGAGAGGGCGAGCACAAGGAATGGGGCACTGGGGTCTTCAACTTTGGCCGACATGAGGTGGGCTGACTCGGTGGGGCTGGGTGTGGGATGCCATATATCAGCACCATGAAGCATGTGTGTGTGGGTGGTTGCGTCAGGTGCGCTCCTTTCTGCTTGGGGCGGCGTACCACTGGCTGCGTCGGTACCACGTCGACGGGCTGCGGATCGACGCCGTGACTAGCATGATCTACAAGAACCACATGCGCCCCGCCGGCCAGTGGCTGCCCAACGAGTACGGCGGAGACTCCAACCTCCAGGCAATCTCTCTCCTCCAGGTCAGCCCCCCAACCCACCCCAAGCCACCCACACAAAAGGTGTGTGTGTTTCTCGATGTGTGTGTGGTCTGTCTGTCTGTCTCTCTTTTTTTTTCTTTTTTATTTTACTAGGAGATGAACTGGGTGGTGCATGAGGAGTGGCCGGGTGTGGTGATGATGGCCGAGGAGTCGACGGCGTGGGAGAACGTGACGCGCAAGGAGGGCAACCCGGGGCTGGGGTTCGACTACAAGTGGGACCTGGGCTGGATGAACGACACACTCAAGTACCTCACCACGCCATACAACGAGCGCCCGGGGCAGCACAACAAACTCACATTCAGGTACGCACACACACACACACACACACAGAGAGAGAGAGAGAGGGAGAGAGAGAGGGAGGGAGAGGGAGAGACGGACGGACCATCCATCCATCCATCCAGGCATGTGTGTCCATCCGTGTGTGTGTGTGCAGGGGTCTGTACTACCGTCATGAGAAGTGGATACTCCCACTCAGGTGGGCCATCAACACACACACACACAGACACACACATCCATCCATCCATCCGTCCATCCATCCGTCCGTCCTTGCAGCCACGACGAGGTGGTCAGCGGCAAAGGCTCCCTCCTAGACAAGTGCGCCTGCTTCGGCACCGCACCCTACGAAGACCGCATCAAAACCCTAAGGTCACCCACACACACACCTTTCCCCCCTCATCTCGCCCCCTCCCCGCCCCGCCCCGCCCCCTGCCCTGTGTGTGTCAAGTATGGATGGATGGATGGTTGCAGGGCTTTGTACGGGTATCAGGTGGGCCAGCCGGGCCGGCCGCTGCTGTTCATGGGCGGCGAGATAGCGATGGGCCGTGAGTGGAGGGAGAGCAAGAGCGTGGACTGGCACGAGGGCGAGGAGGACCTCCGGAGCAAGTGCTGCATCTGGGTCAGCGACCTCATGGGCACCTACAGAACCCAACCCGCCCTACACGCCGGAGACGACGACGGGGAGTGCTTCCAGGTCAGCGAGCGAGGGAGGGAGGGAGGGAGGAGCACATGTAGGTGTGTGTCATGCTGGCGCTCTCTCTCTCTTTCTCTCTCTCTCTGGCGTCTATGTTTGTGTGTGTCAGTGGGTTGACTGCGACAACGCCTCAGCGATGACGGTGGCATTCCTGCGCAAGTGGCAGTACTGGTGGAACGACGTCCTCGTCATCTGCAATTTCTCTGGTGGGTACCCTTCCCACCTCACTGCCGCACACCCACCCCCCCATCCAATGCACGTGTGTGTCTTTGTGCAGGGTGGACGCACGGCGGCTACCGGCTGGGTGTCCCACATGGCGGCGAGTGGGAGGTGCTTCTCAACTCGGACGACTGGAAGTACGGCGGCACCATGAAGGGGCCCGGTACGCAAAGCGCTACGTACACCCACCCATCCATCAATCCATCCATCCATCTCGGTCGGTCAATCAGGCAACCAGGCCAAGGTGCACGCCGACGTGGGTGGCGTGTGGGGTTGGCACGCCTCCATAGCCCTCGACATCCCGGCATACAGCTGTTTGGTGCTGCTGGCGCCCCAGCCGTCAGACGAAGACAAGGAGCGACACATCAAGGAGAGGCACGACAAGGAACAGCAGGACCAGGACCAGCAGCAGCAACAGGGCCAGGGCCAGGGAGAGGGAGAGGGGCAGCAGAAGGGATGACCATCGTCCTTTTCTTTAGATATCGCGTGTGGATAGATAGATAGGTCGATCGATGGCATCCATCCATCCATCCCTCCAGATTGACGAATGGATCGACGCACTCCCGTAGAGGCCGGTCCCGGTGTGTGTAGGTGTAGCTGATGTCGCCGGCAGGCAGAACGACGGCCGTCTGGCCGGCCGGCTATGTGTGGTGTGGTGTGTCCGCCACTGATGGATCGACCGATGGATGGATGGACGCACAAATCGCAAGTTTTTCGTGTGGTGGGGGGGGTGGGGGGGCCTAGGGACTGGGGGGCTGCGGAAAGTGGAATGACACAGTCGAGTCGAATGGACGAGAGAATGGACCGACTGTAATATCTTGCCTTGATTGATCTAGCTCTCTCTTTTTCTAGACCGCGGCTGTCTGTCTGTTAGTCTGTCGGTCTGTCTATGTGCAGGGGAGAACATCATGACAGACGGACGGACGGATGAATGGATGGATGGATGGATGGGAGGCCGGGGGAGTTTTGGGTGGCGCGTGTCCGGTGCGGGGGAGTGCTACTGTAGTAGTCAGGGTACCTACCGTGCGCATGATGCCACGTTGGAAGTCTGCCTGTCTGATTGTCTGTCTGTCTGTCTTACTGGCTGGCTGGCTGGCTGGCTGATGGTCAATCGCAGTCCCTTTCGCCCTCCCTCCCTCCCTCTCTCCCTCTCTCCCTCCCTCCCTCTTTCTCCTTGCCCCATTCCTCTCTGTGTCATATATATTACCGTATTGTTGTG